GCCAGATCCTCTGTTCACCGGAGCCCTGCGGCATCCTGGGGCATCATCCCCGTGGGGTGCGGTGGCGTTGTCCCCATGGCTCCGTGGCCACCGTCCATGAGTCACCGGGGCTTGGGGCACTGTCCCCACGGCTCTCACCTTCCGCCTGCCCGGCCGAGCCCTCCGTCTTGGACGGCGTCATCAGCTTCTTCCGTCGGTGCTTCTTCCTGTCGATCATGGGCGATGGCGGCGGGTCTTTGCCCGAGCTGCTGGGGCTGGAGATGGCCTCGAAGGCAGGGGGGCCGTCTGCGAGAGACCCGCACGCTGGGGTGCTGGGGGCCACCAAGCTAGCCAGGGCCACTGCGCTCATTAGGATGACTGAGGCCACCAGGGTCACAAGGACCAGTAGCCTCACCAGGGCCATTGGAGCCACCAGGGTCACCAAGATCACCAGGGCCACTGGGCTCACTGGGGTCATCAGGGATACCAGGGTCATCAGGGATACCAGGGTCACCAAGTCCACCAGCACCACTGGGTTCACCAGGACCACTGGGGCCACCAGGGTGACCAAGTCCACCAGAGCCACTGGACTCAGCAGGGCCCGGGCTCTCAAGGGCCACTGGGTTCACTGGGATCACTAGGACCACCAGGGCCACCAAGTCCACTGGTCTCACCAGGGTCACTGGGGCCACCAGGGTCACAAGAGCCACTTGGCTCCCCAGGGTGATGAGGGTCACCGGGACCATTGGAGCCACCAAGGTCACCAAATCCACCAGGGTCACTGGGGCCACTGGGCTCACCAGGGCCACCAGGTTCATTGTGGCCTCCAGGATCACCAGGGCCACCAGGTCCCCAGGCTCACCAGGGACCACCAGGCTCACCAGGGACCACCGGGCTAAACAGGGGCCACCAGGCTCAGTGGGACCACCACAGGCAAGGTCCCTGGCTCTGTCCCAGGGAGGTGGCCGGGTCCACGAGCATGAGAGGGGACGGGGACGGGGACACTCACCAGAGCCGGACAGCTTGGCACTGGAAGCGGAGGCGCAGCGCTGCAGGGACCTCTCAGCCTTGCCCGCGCCCTTCATCCCCGGCTCTGGGGGGAGGCTAAGCCCCACGGGCGAGGCGCCGGCTGCGGGTGGGGAAGGACCGGTGACACGGGGGTCCCCCCAGACCCCCACCTCACTGCCACCACCACCGCCCCGGTACTCACCACCACCCTCGGGG